TGGCTGGCTTCAGCTATTTGATGAGTACTAGTTACATGGCAAATCTTTTTATCCTTTTACTTTTACCCTACCTAGGTCTTTAAAATTGAAATGTGTTTCTTATAATTAGTATTTTATTCATTCTTGCATTTTTCTTTAAGCGCAATCATTTACTTCATTGGAGTGTTTGGATCACTTATAGTCAGGTTTTTTTGTTTGTTTGCTTGTTTTTTAAGTATGCTTCACGCCCAATATAGAGCCCCATGTGGGCCTGAATTCATGAGCCTGAGATCAAGACCTGAGGTGAAATCAAGAGTCAAGACACTTAACCGACTGAGCCACCCAGGCGCCCCTATAGCCCATTTTAAAGATTTTATTTTTATTTATTTAGTTAGTTAGTTAGTTATTTGAGACAGAGAAAGAGCAGAGGTGGGGTGGGCAGAGGGGCAGAGGTAGAAAGAGAATCTCAAGCAGACTCCATGCTGAGCATCCAACCAGATGGTGGGGGTCAATCCCACAACCCCGAGATCACAACCTGAGATGAAACCAAGACTCGGATGCTCAACTGAGCCACCTGGGCACTCCCCCTATAGTCCATTTCAATTAGTGATTTCGTTGGGTGTAAATCTATGATCCTGCTCTCTTTTCTCTGTTTGACTCATCTGTTAATTTTACTCCTTTTTCCTGCTTTCTTTTGGTTTATATTCTGTTCTATATCTACTTTTTTTTTTAGTGGTTGCTGTAGAATTTACAATATTCGTCACAGTATGCCTTCACATTAATTGTATATACTACCTCAACTACTACACTGACTGATGGCAAAGATGGTTTTTTTAAATAGATGTTATTGGGACCATTGGAAAGCTTGTTGGGAAATGTTAAACTCAGATCCTTCTCCCAAACCACTGAAAAGGTAAAACTCCAAAAGAATCAGACATCTAAATATAAGAAATGAAGAATAAAATGAAAAAAATCGGTGAATTCTCTTTAACCTGATTATAAGTAAAGGCTTTCTGAATTTAACTAAAAATCTACATGCAATAAAAGTAAAGCTACATGAATTTGACTACATGAAACTAAAAAAATTCTTTACATGGCAAAATACCCCATAAAGAGAGTCATAAGAATTGACAAATTAGGAGAAACTTTTCACAGCGTCTGTGATAGTTAAAGCTCTGATGTTTCTAAAATAAAAAGCTTTTTTTAAAAAAAGATTTTATTCATTTATTTGAGAGAGAGAGAGCGAGCATGAGTGGGGGAGGTGAGAGGCCAAGGGAGAAGCAAACTCCCTGCTGAGCAGGGAACCTGATGTGGGGCTCCATCCCAGGACCCTGGGATCATGACCTGAGCCGAAGGCAGATGCTTAACCAACTGAGCCCCACAGGTGCCTCAAAAGACTTTTAAAAATAGGAAAAGACCCAAAATCATATGGATTGCTGGTCAGCCAATTATGGTATATGGGCTGGCATCCTGCTTTTGTAAATAACGTTTTATTGGGACATGGCCATGCCCATCCTTCCAATGTCGTCTTTGCCGCTTTTGCCCCAGAATTGCAGAGTAGGGTAGTTGCACCCGAGACTGTGCTCACTGCCCAGAATGTTTCCTATCCAGCCCTTTAAGAAAAGTTTGCCAACTCCTAGTATAGGAAAATGGGCAAAAAATATGAACAGCCAGTTCATAAGAAGTTAGAAAAATAGCTCTTGAACATCATGTTCAGCCTTTTTCATAATTGGGAATGCAAAAGAGTTAAACCTCTTTGGAAGAGAAATCGGTAAAATATACATGGGTACTTATATTTGGACCCAGCAGTGCCAATGTAGGAATTTACTCTGAACACACATTTCCAAAAGTAAGGAAATACATCGTGTGCAAGGTAGTTCTTTGCAGCCCTACTTATAATTGCAAAATATCGGAAACTCCCTACCTCTCCAAACCTCACAAACTCGTTGAATAAACCTAGTATAGTCTCACTATGGAGCACAGTGCAGCTATCAAAAATTATGAGAAATCTCTTCATGCCTGGAAGGAGGTGTTTTTCCAGATGTTGATAAGTAGAAGAGCAAAAAGTAAGAGAGCGGTTATAATATGCCACCTTTTGTCTGAGAAACAAGGGACCATAACGAAGCACATATCTGTATAGAAGGAGCACTGGAAGGACAAACCAGAAAACAGTGAAGTTGGTCGCCCCCAGAGGTGGGCGTGTGGGTGGGTAGAAGGAGTTCAGGAGGGAGTGACATTTCTTTGAGTTTGTCTTAATATAGTTTTGACTTTTAGAAGTTTGCTAATGTAATACAAAATTCAAAGCATAAACTTGAAGGATGGGAAGAGGGGAAAACCCCTAAAACTGAAAGCAAGTGGAAATCAACCCAGTCCTTTTCCCGGGAAGTACCATAGCCACATCTAGGGGGGTAATGAGAGGAGAGGGAGCTAAGTTATGAACACAGTGTTGGACTGCACACCTGCAGTCTTGGACGAGGTTAGGTGTGAACAGCAAAGAAATCTTGAAGTCTTGCTTGTAGGTTTGTGTGGGTAGAGCAACTTGGAGCTTATTTTATGTACATGATGGTATGGAGCAAAGGTATTAATGTTGTTGGGAGCCAGGGTTCTTACTGCAGAAGAAAGGATGTCCCAATATGAATGGGAAAGGCAAGAAGAACCCTGCGGGGAAGATTGGGATTGGAAGTGTTGGTGTGTACTCATGGTTCCTAAGATCTCAATATGTATCTGTTTGCACTGTCTGTGCACACCTGTGCAGTGACGTCCAGGTGTGTGTGTGTGTGTATCCATGACTACACGCATGTGTACATCCGTAGTACACTTTTCTAGCTCTGTATTCCACAAGTAGCAAAGACACTGCACACTCACACTCAGTGACCTGAACATCTTTCCCACTCAGAAGGACCAGGGCTCCTTAGAGAAATAGCTAATTCCAGGGCTGGGGCAAGGTTAGCATAAAATGACTCTGAAACATCTTATGACAGAATGTACAGCAGTGCTTAAAAAAAATGAACGGGGGCCGGGGGAGCTGCCTGGGTGGCTCAGTCGTTGAGCGTCTGCCTTCGGCTCAGGTCGTGATCCCAGGGTCCTGGGATCGAGCCCCGCATCGGGCTCCCTGCTCGGCGGGAAGCCCGCTTCTCCCTCTCCCACTCCCCCTGCTTGTGTTCCCTCTCTCGCTGTGTCTCTCTCTGTCAAATCAATAAAATCTTAAAAAAAAAAAAATGATGGGGGCAGGTCACCAATCAATTTGCACAGGATCCCACTTGCTAAATGTGGGATAATTCGTGCATCAAAATAGTTAAGAACCATAATGCCTTTTTAAAAAAGATTTATTTATTTATTTGGGAGAGAGGGAGTGACAGTGACAGATAGTGGAGGGGAGGGGCAGAGGGAGAGAATCCCAAGCAGACTTCCCGCTGAGCATGGGGCCCAACCTGGGGCTTGATCTCACGACCCTGAGATCACAACCTGAGCAGAAATCAAGTCAAACGCTTAACCAGCTGCACCACCCAGGTGCCCCAGATCCATAATGCTTTATAACAATTGAGCAGTCACTGAGTCATTCTTAATGAATGATAGACAGACAGACAGATAGATAACAGAATGCTGAGTGTCAACAGGTAAATTTAAATGGGGTGCTAATGTTGGAGAATAATTTTGCAACCATTGCAGTAAAAACTGCTTCTGACAAGAATGATCCAATGGCTACTAAAAGCAGGGAGAAAGTTCTATGAGGATTGGGATATTTGTGTGGTCTTGAAGTGCCTCCTCACACATTGCATATTAGGTGCAGAAGAAAACGTAGTGACAGTGTAGTGTAGAAGCTGGGCAGCATTTTGGGTGAGGAAGATCTGTCTCCGTGAGGGTAGCTGGCCGTCCCATATATCTGGATGTGATATTCAGGTAATATTTCAACCTGGAGCGCAGCACAAATTGAATTATGAGAAAACCTCAAGCAAACTCAAAATGAGGTATGTTCTACTTCATAAAAAAAAGAACTGTATTCTTTCAATAGTCATTGTCATAAAGGATGAAGAAATGCTTCAGATCAAAGGAGACTAGGCAGGTGATGACCCAGTACGGTGCTTGGTTCAGGAACGTGACTGGCTCCAAACTGGAGGACGGGGGTGCTGTGGGAGGACATCGGTGCCGGCGGCCACACTTGCGCTTGGACGGCGAGGTGTGTCTGAGGCTCGGGGCCCTGCTCATCTGTCCTCCACGGAAGTGCTGCCCACGGAGCCTGTGGCTTTCTTCCCACTGCGCTCACTTTAGAGCAGCCTCACCCTGGCGGTTGCTGTGGCTTCTGGGCGTGTGCGCATGTCCCTGCTTGTGTTCACCCAACAGATGGGGAGCTGCCTTTCTGCTGACTCTACATCTCCCAAAACATTGTTTCTGGATAATTACTGCGGACACCGAAGAGCTTTTAGTGTATGTGGCTGAAATCTCTTGATATTTACTATGTTAGAAGTTAAAACTAAAGATTTAAAAAATATTTATTAATCGATTTAAAAATAGCAATGAGAAACTCATCACATCTTCACGTAAGTAGCAACATTTATGACAGAATTTCTAAAACAACGATTTGGCCGGAAGAATGGGCTTGTTTTCCACATTACCTGTCTCCCTCGCCGCCGGCATGGTGGAGACACCTGGCCCCCGTGCCTCGTCCCTGATCAGTCTGTTGTGGCTCACGCATCGTGGGGCCTCTGGAAGACTCGCTGTGCCCTGTGAGGAGGGAGGAAAGGGCAGTGACACCCCCATGTGGCCCCATGAGCCCCCTGAAAGGGTCTCTGGACCACTTTGAAGATCACGAGCTTAAAAAAAGTTCTAGTTCCCGGAAGGCCTTCAGTGAATATTTGTTCAATGAGTTAATGAGTTCCAAAATGGCTGCACGATGGGGCCAGTGCTTGGTTGGATTTATGAGTTCCAACCTGTGTGCGTTGTTGGTCGCTGGACCCTGTCTCCATGTCCTGTCTCCAGAGGGTTGGCAAGCTCTGGCCTCAGCGCTCCTCTTTCCGTGGCAGGTGTCCCTGTGAACAGCAGAGTGTCCTCCAAAATCCAGCAACTTCTCAACACCCTGAAGAGGCCAAAGCGCCCTCCGCTGAAGGAGTTCTTTGTGGATGATTTTGAGGAGCTGTTGGAAGGTGAGAGATCTCAGGCAGGCTCCCGTGTCAGTGTGAACAGGGTGGCTGTCCTGTTAATGTGTGTTATGTGTGGTCACTCTGTGACGTTACAGCACAACCAAGTGACCCTCCGTCTGTTTCCAGCCCTGGGGTCACCGTGTGTCACGTTACATGAACAGGGAGAAAACGCATCACTCCTGGTTAAGGGACTTAACATTTCTCTGTGCCTCTAATCCAGTGCTTAATGCTTGATAAGAATACTCCTAAGGTTTCATTTTATTTACATTATTTAAATTTTTTTTAAAGTAGGCTCCATGCCCAACGTGGGGCTTGAACTCCTGACCCTGAGATTGAGAGTCACACGCTCCACAACTGAGCCAGCCACGCGCCCCCATTATTTGAATTTTTATTTAAACTTTAAATCTGAAATACTTGTCTTCCCATGGTTTTAAAGTATATTTTTAGCATGGTTTTGGCCCTTTTTCAGAAATTTAGTCTCTCATTTATGAGTGAGATATACATTTAGGGAAAAAGAATATAGATCTATTTTTAAAAGAAAATTACCAAGAAGTAGAAAGAAGTATAAATCTGTAAGAAAGAAATAAAGTCTAGTACAAGGTATGAGCGTGTAATTGTGTTCGAGCCGCAGGGGCACATGGCTGGCTCAGCCCCTGCCCCCTCGTGCCTCTCCTGTGTCGTGTTGCTGCCCCACAGACCACTGCCAGGCATCTCCTCCTCACTGAGGATTAGACACAACCCTTAGGTCATTGTTTTCCCCTTTATAATCAGATGACGCCTTTCAAATTCAGAGTTCGGTGGTAGAAATGGTCTTTGGGCAGTCTTTCTTACACTTGGGCCAATGCTGGTTACACAGCCATTGGAAATGTAATCGATTTTACTTTATTTTTTTGTTTCAACATGGTGATGGTTGTTTCGAGTGCCCAAACTGAGATGGTGATTCTACTCACTTTCATCCTTGATAAGTGGGACTAGTGCCTTTCCCTCAGGTGTCATCATCGGCTGTCACCCCACGCACTGCCTCCGTTCTGGGGATTGGCCCATGGGATCTGGTACAGTGTCCTGCAGTTTCCATGACGAGTCTCCATCTGTCCTTTGGTCCATTGGTCTGGGACTATTATAATGATAAGGAAATCTAAACAAGTTATTGTAACCTTCTTACAGTTGGTATTTTTTTTTTTTTGAGAATTTATTTGAGAGAGAGCAAGAGCTATGAGAGAGAGACATCAGGAGCAGGGGGAGGGGCAGAGGGAGAAGCAGGTTTCCCACGGAGCAGGGAGCCCGATGCGGGGCTCCATCCCAGGACCCTGGGATCATGACCTGAGCTGAAGGCAGACGCTCCCCGACTGAGCCACCCAGGCGCCCCTCTTATCGTTGGTATTTTTTAAGAGAAAGCTTAAAAACAGAATGTATGCATGGTCCTATGAAATGCTGATTTTTAAACTTCAATTTTGCTTACAGTGCAGCAACCAGATCCAAATCAGCCAAAGCCTGAGGGAAGCCAGATGGTGGTGCTGAAAGGGGAACCTCTGGCTGTGGGGGTCCCCTGGCCCCCATCCCTGCTGGCCGCCCTGCAGCGGTGGGGTACGACGCAGCCCAAAGCCCCCTGTCTGACCGCTTTGGACACGGCCGGGAAGGCCTTCTACACCCTCACCTATGGCAAGTGTTGAAAGCAGTTGGGCTCTGGTTTAGCTGTAAAATGTTACATGTCATACAGCACAGACATACAGCTTCACGAACATGCTAGAACAATTCCCAAGAGACCAACACAACTGTCAGAACAACAGAACATTGCCTCACTCCAGGTGCCCCTCCTGGACCACTGCCCCTTCCTCCCAGCAGAGGGGACTCCTCACTGACTGATGGCGACCAGCCACTGCTCTGGTGTCGAGGTTCACATCCAAATATGCACCTCTGAACAATGGAATTTGGTTTTGTCTCATTTTGAACTTTGTATAAATGAAATCATACAGTGTGTATTTTTTTGTTTGGCATCTTTTGGTTCCGTATTATATTTTTATGTAACACAAATCATAAGCGTCTGGCTTGATGCATTTTCACGGAGTGAATGTACTCCTCTAACTAGCACTCAGCTCTCGAGCATTTCCAGGTCCCTAGGCCCCCTGTGTCCCTTCCAGCACGTACATCCTCACAATGATGGTTGAACTGTCCTGATGCTTGTGGACATTTCTGGCTCTCCCTGTCCAAGTTTTACGTAAATGGAATTAAGTGAAAGGTGTTGTGTGTGCATTCTTTTGTGCAGCATTGTTCAGGAGACTCAGCCGTGATGTTGTGTGAAACTCATTGATGGATGTGTTTATTGTGTGAATATGCCAAAAATTACTTGCGTACTCTACAGTAGATGGACCTTTCCACTGGGGCTATTGTGTATAGTGCTGTTATGAACATTCTTAGGTGAGTCCGTTCGTGCTGGGCATAAATGTACATGTACGATCAGCCGTGTTTGGCTTTAGGACACACTGTTACACCGTGTCCAGACTGTGTGTGCAGACTTACCGTTGTTCCACACCCTTGCCAACACTTGATCTTGTCTGTTTATTTCATTTTAGCCTTTCCTGTATGTGTTTTATGGTGTCATTTATGGTAGTAATTTATTTGCGTTTCTCTGATGCCTAGTGATACTTCTGTCTGTTTATTGGCTGTTTGAATACCCTCTTTTATGTACTATCCAGATCTTCGGCTTGTTTTTCTATTTGGTTGCTAATGTTTTCTTCTTTGTATGTTTCAGATACATGTCTTTTGTCAGATTTGTTTTGCAAAAGTCTTCTTCCACTCTGTGGACTGTCTTTTAACACTTTTATTTGTGGCTTTAGATAAATAAGTGTTAATCTAATTAGTCTAATTTATCTATTTTTTCCCTTTATTTTAGCAGCTTTTTGTCCTGTTTGCCAAACCTAAAGTCACAAAGATATTCTCCTACTTTTTCTTCTGAAAACTTGCTTTACTCCTCATATTTAGGTGTCATGATTCATCTTCAGTTTAGTTTGTATGGTGTGACATTGGAATCATTTTCTTTCCTAGTGAATGTCTACTCGACCTACTACCATCTACTGAAAAGGCAGTCCTTCCCCCGGGCGTATCAGGAGAAAAGACACGTGTGGGTCGGCGGCTGCCCTCATGCTCTTTTGTCTGTCTGTGCTCCCTGAACGCCTACAGCTTTATGAGCCCTGGTGTCGGGTATAGATGCCCTTCAGCTCTGTGATTGTTCCTTACGGTTTTCTTGACTATTCTTGGCTCATTGCATTTCTAAGCCATCTTTTGAATCAGTTTGTTAATTTCCAGAAAGATTCCCGCTGGGATATTGATTGGCACTGCATTGATTCTGTAGTTAAAATGTGAAGAGAATTGATACCATTACAGTTACGGAATCTTCCAATTCAGGACTGTGGAATATTTTCCCCTTATTTCAAGGCCCCCTTTAATTTCTCTCATTAATGTTTTATACTTTTGAGTACAGAACTCTTGAGCATCTTTCATTAGATTTATTCCTCTTGAAGTGGAATGATTAAAAACTTTTTTCTGCTCATTTGTTGCTTGTATATAGAAGTGCAATTGATTTTTTAAATGGTGATTTTTTTAAAAAAAGATTTTACTTATTTGAAAGAGAGAGAGAGAGAGAGCACAAGCAGGGGGAGGGGCAGGCAGAGGGAGAAGCAGACTCCCTGCTGAGCGGGGAGCCTGCTGTGGGGCTTGAACCCAGAACCCTGGGATCATGACCTGAGCTGAAGGCAGACGCTTTGCCGACCGAGCCTCCCAGGTACCCCTAAATGGTGATTTTGTATCTAATAATCTCATTAAATTAACTTACTAATTCTTTTTCTGTTTGTTAATTAGTAGTTTGTCCATATATCTTTTGGATATTCTATGTTCAAAGTCATGTCATCTATGAACAAAGACATTGTTATTTTGGCTTTCCCAATACTTGTGTCTTTTATTTCTTTTCTTGCCTCACTGAAGAGCTAGAACCCCAGTACAATGTTGGGTAGTGGGCATATGCTTGCTTCCTTCTCCATCTCCGGTGGAAAGCTTTGGGTCATGAAGTATGATTGCTATTTTGTGGTAGAAATTCTTTGTCAGATTATGGAAGTTCCCTTCTATTCTTAGTTTACTAGAATTTTTTTTTTTTTTAATCATGGATGGCATTGAATTTTATAAAACACTTTTTCTGCTCTGTCAAGATGATCGTATCTTTCTCTCTCCTCCCCACTTAATTTGATGAATTACATTGATTAATTTTCAAATGTTAAGCAGCCTTGGCATTCCTAGAATAAATCCCACTTCGCCATGATATCTTTTTAACAAATGTCTGAATTTGATTTAGCCAGTATGTTGTTTAGGATCTTTGCATCTGTATTCATGAGAGCTCAATCTGTGATTCCTCAGAAAGGCGCTCACTGCCCGCTGTGAGGGGTGTGGTCTGCTCACAGCTCCCACCTCTTGAATTGAGGTTTCTCTCTCTCTCGTCCTTCTGGGACCTTGATTATACTTATATGTTTTTTGAGTCCCATAGAGCTTTAATGTTCTTTTTTCTATTTTCTTTTCTTTTCTATGTATTTGGTTGACCCTTGAACGATAACAGGGGTTGGGGGTGCTGACTCCTGCACAGTTGGAAACCCAAGTATAAGTTTTGACTCCCCCCGTAACTTAACTACTACTAGTCTGCTGTTGACCAGAAGGCTTACTGATAACATAAACAGTTGATAACACTTATTTTATATGTTGTTTTTATTATATATTGTATTCATACAATAAAGTTAGCTAGAGAAAAGAAAATGTTATTAACAAAATCTTAAGGAAGAGAAAATACATTTATAGTATTTATCAAAAAAATCCACAGGTAAGTGGACCTGGGTTATTCGAGGGTCATCTGTATTTCAGTTTGAAGATTTTTAAATTTTCCTTTATTCAAATTCTCTAATCCTGTCTTCTGTGAAATTTTTATTCTATTATGAAATTCCTGATGAGTTCTTAATTTTGATACTGTCTTTTTAGTTTAGAATTTTCACTTCTGTATTCTAATTCCTATTCTAATTTTCTAGGAAAATTCTTTATCATTCCATGCATTGTCTTCATCCTTTCCTTTATTTCCCAGAATCCATACATCCCTTACCACGATGGAAAGTTTCTGTTTTCAGGTCACCTCTGGGCCTGTTGCTGTTGTCTGTACTTTCTCTTGGTTTTAGTTTGGGGAATTTATCTTTGGGATGCCTGGTACCTTTTTGATTAGATGTTGGACATTGTGTGTAAAAAGTTATGGAGGTTCCAGATGATGTCCCCTCCACGAGAGACGTTCCTCCTTCACTCCGCGTGGCAGGTAGCATGGTGGCCTGTCTCTGCCATGCAGTTGGGGCTGGCTCAGCCCCCCTCTGAGCACCTGTCTGTCCTTCTCCTCCGGGGTTCCCCAGCCATGGCTTCTGTCTCATGTGTCTCATGTAAGGACTCCACTTTGCTTCTCAGAGGTTTTCCACATGGGTTTTCGGCCCCTGTTGATCACAGCCCCAGGACTCAGTAGATTTCCAAGGGGGAGGCTGGCTGTGGTGTCGTGGCGCCCAGCCTCTGCCAGAAGCTCTGCTGTTATCTTCATGCCTCAGTGGCAGTGCTCCATGGGCATGAGTCCATGAGATACTCTGTCTCCTGTGGGTGCCAGGGCCCGCATAACCCCCAGCTGTGCACGTGGGTCAGCTCGCCTTCCCAAGGGTTTTCCCTCTCGAGCCTTAACTCCTCTAGTTGTCTTTGCTAGATGATTTCTGCATTTTATCCAGTTGTTGGATAAAATTGTTTTAGGTGGGAGCCCTGGTCTGCCACCAGTACTGTCTCCTATTTGGAAGCAGAGTCTTTTACCATTATGTTTTTATGATTCATATTATTGTGTATAGTTGTAGCTCACTCATTTCTGTCTAAGAATGAATAGATCAGAATTTACGTATTGGCTATAATGTTGATATCCAGTTTTGGCTCTCACAAACAATGCTGCTAAGAATGTTCTGGGGTGTGCCACCTGGTACATAAGCATGCATTTTTTAGGGTATGTACTCCTGAGTGGAAGTGTTGGGTCTGGGATTATGCATATCTTCACATTTATCAGATAATGCCAAACGTTCCCAGTTTACACTTAACCTGATCAGTGTGTCAGTCCCATCTATTCCCCATCATCAGGCTTCCTGGGGCTAATCTGGTGAGAATATGGTAGTAGTATTTCATTTTGGTGTTAATTTGCATTTTCCTGATCACAAAGTAGATTGACATCTTTCCTGTTTTTTTTTTTTTAATCATTTGGGTTTTCTCTTTTGTTAAGTACTATTGAATCTTTTGCACATTTTTTTTTTTTAAAGATTTTATTTATTTATTTGAGAGAGAGTGTGAGAGAGAGAGAGAGCACATGAGAGGGGGGAGGGTCAGAGGGAGAAGCAGACTCCCTGCTGAGCAGGGAGCCCGATGCGGGACTCGATCCAGGGACTCCAGGATCATGACCTGAGCTGAAGGCAGTCGCTTAACCAACTGAGCCACCCAGGCGCCCCTTTTGAACATTTTTTATGTAGGGTTATTTGTGGGAATTTTTGGTGTTTTCTGGATACCAGTCCTTGTCAGTGACATGTGCTGCTAGTGTCCCCCCCTGTGAGCCTACCCCATCCACTGCTGACCAGTACCTTAGTGAGCAGAAGCTCCGCCCAACCGCGCCTTCTTTTATGTTCATGGTGAATGCTTTCGGAGTTCTCCTTAAGGACTCTACCTAAGCCAAGGTCATAAAGTTATTCTGTTGTCTTGCAATAGCTCTGCTGTTTTGCCATTCACATTTAGATGTACCAAATCTTCTGGGAATGAGTCTTGTGTACAGGGTGGGGATGGGTCCCAGGGTCCATTTTTCAGGACAGATAGCCATCCGTCCCATTCTCATTCCCACAGGGCCACCACCCTTCTCCAGCCCACCTGTGTCATAGATGGAATTGTCCACACATAGTGGGGCTGTTGCGGTTCGTTGTTTTATCCCATTGAGTTAATATACTACCCTTATTTTTTTTTTAAGATTTTATTTATTTATTCATGAGAAACAGAGATAGAGAGAGAGAGGCAGAGGGAGAAGCAGGCTCCCCGGCGAGCAGGGAGCCCGATGCGGGACTCGATCCCAGGTCATGACCTGAGCCGAAGGCAGACGCTTAACCATCTGAGCCACCCAGGCACCCAATATACTACCCTTATGCCAGCACCAACTTCCTGAATTACTGTGGCTCTATAGTAAATCTTGACATCCATGGAGGAAGTCAAGAGATTCATAATGTTCCAGTCACGTATGCAAGTAATGCAAATAATGACAGTTTTGTTTCCAACTGTTGGCCTTCTCTCTCCACCCTGCCCCCTTACTGCGTCAGCTAAGACTTTGAGTAAAAAGGCAGATGTCCTTGGCTTGTTTCTACTTCCCCAGGGAAAGCTTTCAATATCTGACCATTAATTCTGATATTTCCTGTAGGACTTTTAAATATGGGCTTTACCAACTTTAAGGAAACTTCCTTTCATTCCGAATTTAAATCATTTAAAATCCTGAATGATTGTTCAATTGTTTTACCTTTTTTCACCTTTGTTAATGTGACAAATTATGTTGATTTTCTGTTAAAACTTTTTGCACTTTTTTAAGATTGATTTATTTATTTGAGAGAGAGTGCGTGAAAGTGGGGCAAGGGGCAGAGGCAGAGACAGAGAGTCTTCAAGCAGACTCCCCACTGAGCATGGAGCCCTAGGTGGGGCTCAATCTCACCACCCCAAGATCATGACCTGAGCCAAACCAAGAGTCGGACGCTCAACCTATGAGCCACCCAGTGCCCCAAAACTTTTTGCATTCTTGAGATAAACTGACTTTGTCATGATACATCATTCTTTTTATATATAGCTGGATTCAGTTTGAAAATCTGGATTATCAACATCTTGAATTGACCTTTGTATATAGACAAAGGCAACAGTGTTTTGAGTTGAGTATTTTTTTTCTCACTGATTTCTCAGGTCCCACAGTTCACTTATTTCATAATGTTGCACCCATGTTTAGTTTTATTTATGATGAAATCTGAGCACTACTCGGGGGGCATGGCTGCTCAAATTGCATGTGGTCATTCCCCAGGAATTTGAAAGGGGCTGAATCATGACTCTTGTGTCGCTTCTTTGGTACTACGCAGGGTGGGTGTTGATGCTGCTTCAGGTGTTGGGGATGGACTCGGGTTTTCTGTCGTCCTGCCCCATTGTTGCCCCTCCTCAGTCTACCTCCCAGAGGCCTTTAGACTTCCTTCCCTTCCCTTTGTTTCATCGTCCATCTTCCTCAGTGACGCTGTCCTTTGTTGAGCGTTCACAGCTGCGCTCTGTACGTGAGCCTGCGTGCCGGAGTGGCGTGTGCCCGGCAGAATCTGCTGGGCCTGAGGGCCGGGTCCTGGGGGGACTGACGTCTCCTGGGGGGACTGACGTCTCCTGGACGGTCTCCTCTTGTGTGAAAACTGGAGATGGAGATAGGACCCACCTCATGAATTAGAGAGGTTAAATGAATTCTGTGCCACTCATAATCATAATAAGGGATGTAGTTGGGAGATATCTAATGACATGAAAATGCATCCAAAATGCAATGTTGACTGAACAAAGCAGAGTGAAGTATGATCCAATTTCTTGAAAATTGCACGTACATGTATATATGCTTGTGTGTGTGTGTGTGTGTGTGTGTGTGTACACATAACCAAAAGAATGCTGTCTTTTTTCTGTTAGCTTTTCTATAATAAACTCCTGTTCTTTTTTTGTATTAAGAAAAATAAATCCATAAGTTATTTTTAAGAGAAAACTATGATGTTCATTACAGCATTGTGCAAAATAGTTATCAGTTGGAAACTACCTGAATTTCCAATAATAGAGTGATGGTACATTATGGGATATTGTGATTGCTACATCAAAATGTTATTTATCAGTTTCTTAAATTTTACATTGCTTAGTATTTTTATTTTATTTTAGGCAAACTTTGGAGTCGGAGTTTAAAACTAGCTTATACTCTACTTAATAAACTGACTAGTAAGAATGAACCACTACTTAAACCTGGAGACAGAGTAAGTAACTAGAATATAACTTACTGGAGTGAGCAAAAGCAAACCCTAAAAATATGTCTCATTGAAATCAGTATTCCATCAGTTGGTTAGACTTATAGCATTAATACAAGGGGTTTAAAGTCAGCAAAGAAAAATATTAAATATGGACAAAGTTTATGGTGATGTACGTAAGATGATGGTTCTTTTCATTCTTCATTGCTCATCCACTGACTCTTCAACATCTTTCCTCTTTGACTTCATATCTATTGATTTTAGTGAAAATATTAATATTAATAAAAATTGGATCCCCAAAGCTTAAGTTTTATGAGTAAATGTTGACCCTACTTGGAAATTCATCTCTTCCTCTCATCCATGTGGCCAGGCAGCCCCCTCTTAGCTCACAGCTGAGGTAGAACATGAAGGAGGCTAGAGGCTTATTAGTTCCTTGTACTTACTACACTGCCCAACATTGTTGCAGTAGCCACATGGGGCCATTTAAATTAACCACGGTTAAATAAAATAAAAAATTTAGTTCCTCAGTCACCCAAGCCACATTTCAAGGGCTCATGAACCACATGTGGCTAATAGCTACCACATTTGATAGCTTGGAGATAGAAGGTTTCCGTCATCATAGGAAGTTCTGTTGGTGAGCATGGCTCTGGGCAAACTGAAGCAGATGCAAGGAGCGCAGGTAGACCAGAACGTCCACGATGGAGGGCAGGACACTCAATAGTGAGACCCCCTAGTGAGAGGGCTGTTGTGGTCAGATCACCCCACAGTGAAACTGTAAGTTTCAGGCAACTCTTTGAGTGTCCACTCTTTAAAAAGAACCAGTCACCCAGGACATTTGAAGAATGTGAAAGAAAACAACCAACAGGCAAAGAAAAGAAAAACAAGAAAAGGGAAAAGTGGGGGGGGGGAAGGTGGGGGGAGGAAACGTGGAAGAAAGTCACATACAGAAAATAAATTTTTTTTAAAAATTAGTCTTAATATCCCTGGAGAACTAAGGTGAAGATATTGCTCCACAAATCAAGACAAAGATGCTAGTGGGGAAGGCTAAGAGATGGCAGGTGGGAAGGACAGAAGGACAGAAACTGAGCCTTGGTCAAGAAGGTCCGGTGTCCGGCTGGTAGGAGTTCCAGACGGGAAAGGGGACAGAGAGTAGAGAATTTTAAGTGGTGGTAGTAATGCCTGTCAACATCCTGAAGCTGGAGAGTGAGAGGGCCCGCAACAGAGCTCCTCACCGCTTACTGAGCAGGACCAGGGTGCAGAAACCAGCCTCCGAGCTTCCGGGCGGGCAGGAGCGAGCCGTGGTGCAGGGCAGCGTGGGAGGACAGAGGCCCCAGGCCGGGGTACGCGGCTGGGCATCTGGTAAGACTTAGGACAACCTGACGGGTTGGCTACTTAGAAAATACTTTGGAAAGGTATTGAACACATCTGGCGGAGCATTTTAGAGCATATTGGCCAACAGATACATGGAAAGCAAAGCAAGTAGAGGTGGCCGTTACCATCAGCAGATGTGGACTCGGCTGAAAAACGGGAATAGTCCGAGAACGGTACTTGATACGTTGTGCTTTAGAATGAAACTGTAAGAGTTCCTGATTTATGTTGTGCTTTAAAATGACTCTAAGAATCACTAATTTATTTTTCTTGAAAAAGATTCCTGCAAGGACAGAGACTTCCAGATACCCTTCTTGACTCCTAAGAGAGTCCGCGGAGTTAGGTTAATTATGGAAGATCGACAGATCACAGTGAATGAGCTAACTATCAGATGTGGGTGGCCAATTCATTGCCCTGTGGGAAAAAGAGTTTATAAAAGTGAACAAACACAACTCTAAATTCTCCAAAAATGTTTTTATACCAAACATCTAGTCTCAAAGCTATGGGTCACAGTTCTGGTGCAACCACTATTAATATCAACTTTTAAAGGAGAGCTTTGCCCTTTTCAGCAAATTAACTTGTTAGAAATTGGATTTCCAGACCTCAAGGAGAGAGTAGAGGTGTAGCTTAAATTGTGTCTTACCAAGTAGTTATACGTAGCCATTGTTTTGTGTTCTCAAGGGCCCGGTGTTAGCATCTACTATCCTGACTTTATCACTTATGGTTTCAAGCACACTTATTACAATATTTGGGGCTTACAAAAATCTTATTCCATAAATAGCTTTTAATTTTACCCGATGTTGTTAGAAATGGCAGCTGCAAGGATGGGGAAGAGAAAGGCAGGAATGGAGAGGGCTGGGAACTCCTCTACAATAAAGGGAAATAAAGTCTATACTGAGACATTTTCAACAATAGAATATAGCAGTGTAAGCATAATACTTAAAAATAGGAGAGTAAATGGCAAAAGGAAGATGTAGGATGTTTTGAAGAGGTTGCCTTGGGGAGTGAGGGAGGGTGGAGCATGGGGGTATTGTTTTCCATTAGTACTTTTGTCATCTTAAATTCTGTGTTTTTAAAATGTTTTTGATAAAAATGAAAGTGTAAGATGAATAAAATAGAGCATGTAACTTAAACAGTAGCAGCATGGGGACCAGGGGACTCTGCGGGAGGAGCGGCGGTGGGGGTCTCCACTGAGGGGTCCAGTGCCCTCCCTGCTCCCTGTCAGTACATTTAAGTCTTGAGCGAAGATCTGATCGACTAAAACTTTGGTGTTAGGATTTTATCTTCTGGAAGGTATTTTGGGTATAATTTGGTGCCGTGCCCACTCTTCCTGTTGCTGTGGGTGTTTTTCGCCTGGGCTGACAGATGTGGGTGGTGTGCCCCAGACAGGCAGCGTGCACGGAGCGAGCCAGGTCTCTGTCCCACGCCAGACTTGTGCTGGACTGCCGTTAGGCACAAACGCTCTAAATTATTTTGTTGCTTGTAGAATAAAGACCTCAACCTGAAAACGATTTATGAAAAGTTACATGGTTGAGGAAATCTAAGGACCAAGAATTAACCCCCAAATTACATTTTCTGAACTACATTTGAAAAGCCGTAAGATGATCTAAAATGTCCAAATTCCATCTAGTCAGCAGGGTTTCTGAACGTTGAGATGACGGCGTCATTCGTGAGTGGATTTCATGGATTTCCTTTGTACTGTTGTAGGTGGCCCTGGTGTTTCCGAACAGTGACCCTGTGATGTTCATGGTGGCATTTTATGGGTGTCTCCTGGCAGACCTGGTTCCTGTCCCCATAGAAGTGCCATTAACAAGAAAGGTAGCTAACTCGGTCGGGGCTGTGGGGCTCCGGCCCCGTGAGGTTCTCTTCGGAAGCTGGCGCTTTCCTGCTGGAGCGGCCTGGCAGCCGGGCGCTGTTTTGAGTGAAGAGAGGGAGGCAGGCAGGTCAGGACTTGAGAGAGTGTTAGATGCGGAGTCGGCTGCAGTCCGGCTCTCGTGTGTCTTGTTGTGAGAGGGACTTTAGAAGCTGTAGACGGAGCTATTACGTCATCTCTGTGAATTTTTCAGAACAAATGGTGCGTGTTTTTTCCTCTGATGGATAGAATTTACGATCAGATTTTGTTAAACTGTCTCTCAAAACCATACACTTATTGATAATAATTCTCATTTCTTGGGAATGAGTAAGTCACACTGTGACATATTGTAACTCCTTCTCAGTGATAGTTTTGAATATGTGAGATGGGAATTTGCTTGCTTTTCTGTCTGCTTACATAACAGCAGGCAGTTTTTATTACTGACAGATGATTAATGTGAGGGACTTGGTGATGTTCTAGGGAGCTATTACATTTCAAGTATAAATGTCAGTAATCTGATTATTGAAAAAAAGTAATTATTTTAGGAATACACAAGGCACGTATTTTAGAAAATTAGAGTTTTCTACCCTATCAGTGTTCAGGTAGTTAAAGTAAGCATTATCAGCAACAAATACTCAAGAATCCCAAAAGTGAAGTTTGACATAAAACCGGAACACCCGAGGATAATATACGATGAACAGATATTTGAATACTGAGAGAGATTCTTCAGAAAAAGCAAGATTTGTCAAACTTGCAGGAAGAAAGTGATAAAACGTTACTGAGGGATATGTATAAAAGAAGCGTTGACTGGAAGGAAATGTGCATTTCTGTGGGAAATAAGTAATTGTGTTAAAGGTTGGGCCTCCCCAGATTAATCTGCAAATTTTAAAGATGACTCAAGTGGAAATTTCCATGCTATTATTTTTGGTTTATTAAAATGCTGCTAAATGTCATTTACAAGAAAACACTGAGAAATTAGCCCATTATCCAGAACTTTCTGTTTCACTGCAAAAATATATCTTTTAAATTTAAAAATGATTCTATTTAATTTCCATGAAAATACAGTATATACCCATTTAGGATTCAGTTGTAGAAGTTGATGAGGGCGAATGAAGGTGAAGGGCTCAGCTTTCTTGGTGGGCCTGAGCAGTGCAGGGCCCACTGTGGCAGCCCCGTGAGCGCCTCGCTGTGTTTTCTGCAGGATGCTGGCAGCCAGCAGGTCGGGTTTCTGCTGGGCAGCTGTGGCGTCGCCCTGGCCCTGACCACGGACGCTTGTCAGAAAGGCCTGCCCAAGGCACAGACAGGAGAGGTGGCGACTTTCAAAGGTAGGCCCCCAAGGGCAGGGGAGGTGTCTCCAGGAGGAGTGAGGTCCTTGTCAGAGGCCTGCACGTCCCGCTTCCCCCTGGTTCAGAGTCACTGGTCAGAGGCACCTACTGAATTAAATATAAATTAATACAAAGTGAACGGACGGAGACTTGTGTTCCCCAGGTGCGCAGTAGCCGGTAGCTGTGTGGCGGGGGGCTTAGCCCTGAGGCCCGCTGACCACTCTCCTGGGCCGTCTGTACCCTCACAGGATGGCCCCCGCTCTCCTGGCTGGTGATCGACGGCAAGCATCTGACCAAGCCCCCCAAAGACTGGCACCCGCAGGCCCAAGATGCAGGGTCTGGGACTGCCTACATCGAGGTAATGGCCTCGTCTAACTCAGAGCACGTTGAAGCAGCCCCCACAGGCTCAGCTCTTGTTTCTCATGAGTGTAAGCTGCCATTTATTTTAGATTACAGGCTTAAACTTACCCTTCTGTTTGATCTTCACCCCGGAGACAGAAAGGGTCGGCAGTTATGGGGGAGCTCGCATGCACTGCTGTACCCAGGCACTTACCCCAGGGGTGCCCCACTTTCCTCTGTGGGTGTCACCCCAAGACTCACGGCGTATCGTGTGCTCCCGTGTGACGGGATGGTTAGTGAAGGACGGACAACTGACCACTTCTTTTTAAATTCTGCCAGCCTCCCATTCAGTCTGCTGTGACCTCCAGAGGCATCACATAATGGATTTTTTTCTTGAAATCTTTCAGTATAAAACCAGCAAAGAAGGCAGCACAGTGGGGGTCACGGTGTCCCACGCATCCCTGCTGGCCCAGTGCCGGGCTCTGACTCAGGCTTGCGGCTACTCAGAAGGTAAGGGCGTGCAGGCCCCTGGGGACTGTGGCTGTGTGTCGGTCTGGCCCTTTCGCCCAGGTGGGGCCAGAGTGCTCAGAGCTCTTTGCTTGTGCTGGATGCGTGGGGGTTAGGTCACCCAGGCAGGCCCACTCAAGGTCCTTCCCAGTACATGTGTGTGTCTGTTGATCTTAAGGAGCATGAAATTCACATACCACCACTTAGGCGTGGTGGGCGGTTCCGTCTGTGACATAGCTGAGGGGCAGTGTATTTTGTACTTGATGGACCCACTTTTGTATTACTGTGGGTTTGGCGTAAACTGTCACGCATGCAAATACACAAACGGAATCTTGAAAGTCACAGATTTTCTGTTGGTGATGAAGGTAGCACCTCCCCCCATTTACTGTTAAATATCGGATATTTAACTTAGAACTGTTATTTTAAAAAACTATAAAAATGATAGTTTCCCTACTGTAACAATACTGGAATTGAATAAAACTAGAAAGTAAATTGAATGGTATGTTTTAAATAACTAAAATACACGTGTTTAAAAGTAAGGGGAAAATAAAAATAAAATAAAAGTCAGGGGTCGCTGCAGACTTCAGTGGAGATTTGGAGAATGATTTTAGTTATATTCAAGGGCCTGAATAATTTTTTGAAAATTGGATCTATTAAGTCACATGGTGTCCTTTTTCTGGACATGTGTATATCACGTATCATTCGGGGGCTTTAGCAACAGAGGGAGCATATACATACAGAACTCTAGAAAGCAGTCTCATCTCCCGGCACAGCAGACTCATGTTCACCGTTGGTGTCTGTCCTGAGGGGTGCACCTCAAGGTTGCTGTGGCTTCGGTGGGGGGCCTCGAGCCAGGTCCTGCAGAGTACAGGGCTCTGTGGGCAGCCCTGGGTCGCCACCCTTAGTGGAGGAGAGCAGAGAGAAGGGACAGCTTTCTGAGGGGAAGCAACGTGAGCAGCATGTGACGTTTCCCAAAGATGCAGGGTGGTGGCCTCGGTGTGAGAATGGGGGAGTCTGGGTGTACAGTGAGAAGTAAGCACATCTGTGTGCAGTGGGAGAGTCTCGAGGGGTCGCTCGAGTACATGCTGTTCCTTATGTTTTCAGATTAGTGATCAGCATAGCTCTGTGGTTTTTTTTTTTTTCAAGATGTTGAAGGATTTTTATTTATTTATTTGAGAGAGACAGAGAGGGAGAGAGAGAGCATGAGCAGGGGGAGGAGTAGAGGGAGAGGGAGAAAGCAGACCCCCCGCTGAGCAGAGAACCTGATGAGGGGCTCGATCCCAGGACCCTGGGATCATGACCTGAGCCGAAGGCAGACGCTTAACCCACTGAGCCACCCAGGCGCCCCAGCATAGCTCTGTTTTAATCCAAAATTGTATGACTTACTTCTGAGTTTTTCTGGTAATTTGAATAGATAACCAAGACGATTGATTAATTGGTACATGGTATTTGGAAATGCTGTGTATGTTTCCTAGAGCTCTTCATGTCAATCAATGATGTGTTCATCTCAGTTTCTTTAAAAATGCACATGACTTGTGAAGAGGGTCACGAGTGGTTTAACCATCTTTGTCCACTTTCAGCTGAGACATTAACAAATGTGCTGGATTTCAAAAGGGATGCTGGTCTGTGGCATGGAGTGTTAACAGTGAGTGTTGTATGCTAATGATCTAATGGTTGGAATTGAGGGATCCTAATGCTTCATATCAATAGATGACACCAAGCCCTATTTTTAGGTGATGTAATTAATCCTTATCTGAAGTGAAGTGTCATCATGAGGAGGGCGTTGATGTTATCTTTGCCTTCTCTGGCATGGTGTGGCCCTCTGCTGTCTGCACCTGAGCGAGGCCTGCCCCTTGAGCACCTCCGTTTCTTCCACAGAGTGTCATGAACAGGATGCACGTCATCAGCATCCCGTACGCGCTGATGAAGGTGAACCCTCTGTCCTGGATTCAGAAAGTGTGTTCCTATAAAGGTAATGGGAAATAGCACCGTCATCTGACTCATCCTTCATTCAAGAAGTCACTTTGATTGAATCCTTGGTGATTCAGAAAGTAATAAAGCCGACATGCGGAACCGCAGGGATGAGCTGGGGAGCCCTGATTGCCTGCGCGCACCATGACCAGTCGTGGACTGTGCCTGGCCTGTGCACACGGCCTGGGCGGCCCTTGTCGGGGGCAGCCCCGTGGCAGCTCTCTTCTGCAAACACCATAGGCTACTAATTTTGTTCTCTTGAAATTTTCTTTACAGTCCCATCAGTGCTCCCGGTTCTCAGTAGTGGAGATGGCTTTAATCTGAGGTTAGGGCTTTAGAAGCCACCAGCGTGCTAGAGCTGTTGATTCCCAGGAAGCAGTGTGGGCAGAGGGCCATGGGGCTGCCCGGAGGCCTTGCCCTCCTGCCCCCTGCCTTGGTCAGCCACAGGGCTTCCTCGTCCCTCGGGCTCTGCTCCAGCAGGCCTGCGGGGCCCCTTCGTGACCCCCTGAGGCTGGGCCTCAGGTTTGTCCTCACACTCACTCGTCCTGGGGACCCGTGTCGACTCGGGTGTGTCTGTGAGGAGCAAGGGTGCCGCTTGCCCGTGACACAGGGCACTTCTGTGCTCTCCCTCTGCAGCCCGGGCCGCGCTGGTCAAGTCCCGCGACATGCACTGGTCTCTCCTAGCTCAGCGAGGTCAGAGGGACGTCAGCCTCAGCTCCCTGCGCATGCTGATCGTGGCCGACGGCGCTAACCCCTGTGAGTAAGCGCAGCCGAGCGAGGGTGTGGCCATGGCCTCCCCTCCACAGGCCTGACTTGGGAGGGAAGAGGTTCAAGTACAACCTGCCAAGAAGTAGCACTGAGGTGTTACATCCATAAATGTCCTGCCGTGTGCTGGGCCACACACTTCTTGATGGGGACTCACTGGTGTATCTTGTGCATGTTTATGAAGGCACTGAATTTAAAGCAATTTTAACACCTCAGACAGAAGCTACAGTAACAAATGACCGGAATGTGGTTATGGACTGGGAGCCTGTCCCAGCTTCTTGTCCTTGGCCCCTGTGGCCCCGGCGATCGGCTCGACCTCCTGCTGGGATCTCCCCTGGCGTGCCGCTGTGCGCCCTGGGCTCTGCGCAGGGTCTGAGCGTGGCTGCTTGTCGGCGGCTGTCTGAGGCCTGCCGTGGGGCGTTCCCTGGGGAGGCGCGGTGGACCTTTGCGGGGTTTCCATGAGGCACAAAGCCCTTGACCAGGTAGGAGGCTGTTCTCACTTTAACAGCTATGTGCCACTATTTTTGCACTGAAGCACCTGGACTGGGGGCTGGTCTTTCATCTAGTCCCCTGTGAGGAGGACCCTAATAGCCCTGCGCCCCTAGTCCCCCACCGCCCAAGAGGGCACCCTGCTGTCCAGCTCCTCCACCTGTCCCTGGGCCCAGCAGGGCCCCTCCATCCTGCCTCCAAGACACCCAGGGTTGGGTGCCCTGCATCCCCACGCTTGCCTGAACCCAGTCCCATGCCTGGTCCTGGCCTCACGCCCCTGCAGGTCCTCCACTCTGCTGCACCCCCAGCAGCTCCTCACCGGGCACCGGGCTCACCCTCCTGGCTGCAGACCCCGGTCCCCCACAGATCTCAGATTCTGCCACTCCACGTGCCCTCCGGTGCCCGATGGCCCTGAATGACTGGGTTGTCTTGTGTGTCCTCTGCTGTCTGCCGGTCCCCAACAAGAACTGGACGCAGCGCCCCTGCTTTTCCGCAAGCCTCGCTGTGGCAGGGTGCCTGAGGGTTGTGGTACAGCCCTGGAGTCCCAATGGGTGCAGCCCCGAGCAGGTGGCGCCCTCCTGCCTGGGAGCTGAGCTTCCATATCCGTGACACCTCAGACTGGCCGGGGCGAGTCGGGGAGAAGCAGGGGCAGCCTGGGGACAGTGTGTGAGCTGCCCTGTGGGGGGTTACTTGGCCAACCCCATAGCCCTGAGGCACTTCCAGCAGCACCCGGGCCTCGCCATGAGGGAGGTTCGCCCCATAAGTGCTCCTCGGTCACCTCCCATCAGCAGACCTGTGAGGAGATGGGGCGAGGGTGGGGCTGGCCGTGAGTTAGTGCTCAGACACAACGCAGAGGTGCAGCAGAGGCCTTCCCTGAGAGACGTCCAGCTCTTACCTGCAGGTGGTTTCCAGACGCATCATGTTTTCCATGGAAGCAGCCCCACCCCTCCCTATAAGTCTCCTGGAGCTCGTGTGCCCGCGTGTTGGTGTCAGGCCTGTCCCTGTCAGCCCTCCAGTTACCCCACGTCTCCCTCTGTCTCACGCAGGGTCCATATCCTCCTGTGATGCGTTCCTCAATGTCTTCCAGTCCAGAGGGCTGAGGCCTGAGGTCATCTGTCCTTGTGCCACTTCTCCTGAGGCGTTAACAGTTGCCATCCGCAGGTGAGGTGGTTGCTTGCTCCGTCTTCCTCATGCACCTGCAGTACCCATGCTGCCGAGTGTGGGAGTCTGCTCTAGGCAGGAGAATTCACGAAGCAACGCCGGGCCAGCTTCCCAGGCGTGTGCACATGGTGGTGGGGCAGCCCTGGGCACCATGCCCCCCGCCCTGGGCTGGTTGCGTGTCTCACTCCAGCCTGGATCCGTGCCGGGACTTGGGTTGCGGCTCCCTGGGCTGTGATCTCTGGGCTTGTTCTCCCTCCGACGGCTCCTCTTCCTCCTTGGCCTTCATAAGCGTCGCAGCCCGGAGCCCTTCCCTGCCCTGACGGGGGCCCCTGGCATCTCCAGTGCCCAGCAGCCAGGGACGGGTCTGTACCTGCGGGGCTGTCCTGGAGACGCACCCTGGCCCAGCGCTCACCCCCGCCCCCTCCTGAGGAAGCCCCACCGTGGCTGCTGCGGCTGCATTCTCTCTGCGCTCCTCCCGTCTCAGCCCGGAGGGTGGGGTCAGGACCTCAGAGCTGGCAGCTCTTGTCCTTCGTGCTCCTAACGGGCCACCTTTTCCTTCCCGGGTCCCCTCTCGCAACCCTAGGGCTCTTGTCCGCAGCGGCCTCTGGGTGCCGTCCTGGGGTAGAGGGCGGTGTGCTCACAGTTGAGAGTGTCTCTGCATTAATTTTCTGCTCTCAACCCAGTTATTAGAAAGTCAGTCATGGTTGTGGTCTTGTGTTATATTAGTCTGTGCTTTCATATGTGCAAGTATTAAATAATCCTAAAATTTTAATAACTTAGCAAGAAAAAGAACATCTTTATCCTTCACAAACCATAAGGTATTCCTCATTCCTTTGCTCTATGGTGACACCTCAGTCCCACGCCTGGTGGCATCAGACACTGTATTTCTCCTGCATTCTGCGTCAGGAGTTTGGGAAGGGCTCCACTGGTGGTTCTGGCTTGCAGTCTCTGGTCTCTGGACTGGATGCGTTGGGGGCTGCTCTGGGCTTCCTCGGGGCCTGTCCTTCTGCTGCCCAGGGCTCCCAGCAAGTGTCCCAGCACAGCCAGGCAGAAGCTCAGTCAGCTTTATGACCTCTCTGGGGAGGTCACAGAGTGTCACTTAGACTCTGGCCACAGACCCACCAGATGCCCCCGGTGGGGGAGGAGTGTGCAGGTGCCCGTGCCGAGCAGCGTGCAGCGTCTTCAGGAGGCCTGTCCCCCACGGCCAGCCGTGTGTGGTGCAGAGCAGAGACTTTGGTGCAGCATCATCCTGCAGGCAAGCTGGGCACGGATCCCTCCCCGCCATGGGCGCTGTCCCCTCGTCAGTGCGTCTGTCTGCTTTTGTCTTCCAGGCCGCCAGACCTGGGAGGACCTCCACCAAAAAAGGCTGTCCTGTCGATGAACGGTCTCAGTTTTGGTGTGATCAGAGTTGATACTGAAGAAAAGTTGTCCGTTCTTACCGTTCAGGACGTTGGTCAGGTGCTGCCGGGAGGTAAGGGACGAGCTGCAGTGTGTCCAGTCCCGCAGCTGCTTGACGTAACAGGAGTCCTGAGTGCTCCAGGCTTCGTGGGAGTGATCTGCAAGCTCACAAGCAAAAAGCTTTTGAGCAGCGGTTTTCCATGTATATTGGGGTTTTAATTTATAGTGTTATTTTTTGTTTTTTGCCTGCCTCTGTATTAAATTTAAGGTTGCGCAAAACCAGGAGGGTCTGTTGGTGGCCCCTGAGCCGGATGTGTGGTTCTCCGGTGTCGGGGAGCTGGAGCGCTGACTGCGTGTCAGGCACGGGCATCATGCTGCACACACCACTGATCAGCTCACAGCGCTCCAGAGTCTGCAGACAGCCTGATCACCGGGTGCCACCAGCCAGGGTAGCAGGGATGTGTTCGGTCAGGAGCATGACTCTGAAGGTTGCAAGAAATTCCCATTGCAGCCTCCTGCCCCCCGGGCCCCCTGGACCTGAGTGCCGGCCCTGTGGCAGTGCCACAAGGAGAGGGTTGTGGAACGGCCTGCCCGTGGTCCTCCTGCGGAGCATTGCACAGGGAAATGGAGACCTGAGCCTGGCCCTGGAGGCCCGGTGACAGTTGTGAGCTGGGGAGGCTCTGTGCATGCTCTTCTCTGGTTGCCCCTCACTGTGGTGACCTCACGGTGGCTCGGCTTCCTCCTCGCCATGCGGGCCCTTCTGAGATTCATGGGCAGCTGTCTTGACCCACCCTATGTGCGTGTGTGTGCACAGTGCTCCCCCTGGTGCGAGTTTGCATGTGTGTGCGTGCGTGTGCACAGTGCTCCCCTAGGAGTGTGTGTGTGTGCGTGTCTGCGTGTCTGCACAGTGCTCCCCCAGGGTATGTGTGCGCGTGTGTGTGCGTGTGCACAGTGCTCCCCAGATCATCATTTGTTAGTCAGGACCGCTGCAGAGCTGACTGACGGGTTGAGGGCTGGTGGTGTCTTGTTTTCAGCAGAGACTTAACCTTTCACTATGTTCGCCCCAAGGGGTTTGTGGCCTTTTATCATTTAGATCAGGGTCTCTGCTGCAAATGCAAGCATGTGGGAGTATCTGGCTGTGACCTGCACACCAGCGTCCCCCTCCAGCATTTGTGAATGAATGGAAACAAGTCAATGAGCCCTCTTCTTTGTCCTCTTGCTAATTACCATCCTGGAGAGGAGAATGTGTTGGAGAACACTCAAGAGTCAAAGGAAGGGCCATGCCCAGGTGACCACAGGCTTCTTAATTCCTCACTGGGTGACTGAGTTTCCTTAAATGGACCACTGCACATTCTGGTGTGCATTTCACTCTTCCCTTAGAGGCTGGTTTTGGATGCCTGCTCTGTGGCAAGGCTGGGTGGCCTGGAACTGCAGTCATGCCTGCTCTGTGGCAGGGACAGGCACGGACCCCCATGCCCAGAGTGGGCAGCAGGCAGGATCATCGGTGCGGAGCTGCTTATGACAGTGGAACAGGAGGTCGCTGGGCTATGGGATGGGCTGTGCGGGGCTACGGCATGAGACGGGGGTCAGGAGGGTGACACAAGGAGGGGGCACGGAATGTGTCCATGAGAGAGCAAGTGTCCTGTCAGCCTGAGCTTATGATGTGCAGGATGCGTCGTGCTTCGGTTAAATACTACATAGGAAGCAGAAGGACGTACGCCTGGATAGAGCGTGTAGTAGGCACGTCCGACAGCTCAACAACTCGTTGTAAGAGCAGACTGCATGTGTGATGTTTTGTTTCCATAACTGCAAATGTAGCAACAAGTAGATCTTTGCGAATGACCCATTTACGTGTATTTCTTGTGTATGACTTTGGGGGTTTTTCCTCTCTTTAGCTGACGTATGTGTTGTGAAGATAGAAGGTACCCCTTATCTCTGTAAAACCGATGAAGTTGGAGAAATATGTGTCAACTCCAGCACCACCGGCACAGCGTACTACGGGCTACTTGGAATCACTAAGAGTGTCTTTGAGGTTTGTACCTTTTCCTGCCCTTTATGTTGAGGTGAATTCCATAGCATCAGTGGAGTGTGGGGGGTGAGGCTCGGCGGCTCTCCAGCCCTGATGGGAGTCAAGGTCAGCCCGGGAAGCCAGCGCTCCGCATGCTTGAGGGGCCGGCTGCTGGGCACAGGGAGATGGGGGGGGGGTGCTCACAGGAGGAACACAGACCATGCTGGGTGCGGGAGCCCGAGGAGCGTCTCATCCACTGACAGAGACTCCGGCCTTGGGGTGGCCTGTTCCCCACCAGGGATCCTTGGGTGACAGCCCCATCTGGGGAGCCGTACCCTGACCGGCATCTGGCCGGTTGGTTAGTTGTCCATGGGGCACAGCCTAACGTTCCCCTCTCTGCTCTGCGCAGACCGTCCCGGTCACAGCAGGAGGCGTGCCCGTGTCTGACAGGCCTTTCACCAGGACGGGGCTGCTGGGCTTCATCGGGCCTGTGAGTATGTGCTGCTGCCAGGACCTGGGCCTCCAGACAGGCCCACACCTCAGTAGAGGGGATGCTGTCAGCATCCAGTGTGCATCTAGGGGCCAGGGATGCTCTCTACGCCCCACAGTCCACAGGACAGCACCCATGACACAGTACTGTCAGCCCAGAATGTCCCTGCCACTGACTTTGGGAGCCCTGCCCGAGGGCAGAGGCAGTCCAGGACTACAACTTCACCTTTCCTGTGCCACGCCCCCGGCCCCCCATGTCCCCTTGTCTCCTCCCCAGCCCACCAGGATGCAGGACACTGTGCCCCCCACCGCTGCCCCCCCGTGTCCCCTTGTCTCCACCCCAGCCCACCAGGATGCAGGACCCTGTGCCCCCCACCGGTGCCCCCCCATGTCCCCTTGTCTCCTCCCCAGCCCACCAGGATGCAGGACCCTGTGCCCCCCACCGCTGCCCCCCCATGTCCCCTTGTCTCCACCCCAGCCCACCAGGATGCAGGACCCTGTGCGCCCCCAACCCCCCATGTCACCACGTGGCAGGACCCTTGGTTTCCATGTGCCATCAGCTACCTGTAGCAGCTATCAGCTGCCTGACCCACAGGGCCTGCCTGCGTGTCCCAAATCCTGACCTGTGTCCTTGCTTCCAGGATAACCTGGTCTTTGTCGTGGGCAAGCTGGATGGGCTGATGGTGGTTGGAGTTCGTAGACACAATGCGGATGACATCGTGGCCACTGCACTGGCCGTGGAGCCCATGAAGTTTGTCTACAGAGGCAGGTGATGCGCTGCGGGCCCCTGTACTATGGCTCTAGATCCCTTCTCTACTTGAAGTTTGAGAATCTGTCTGCAGTAGAAGCAAAGTCCAGTGATTGGAATACACAAAACCTAAAAATTCCTGTTCATCAGAAAATCTTCACAAAGAAAAGGACGATCTTTGCAGCCAGGAGCCCATTAGTGTCCTCACTGCCCACAGGGCTCATGTGGTTCTTTAAGAGGACAAGGTCCAAGGAGCACCTGCTTTAGGGCCCTGGACCCTCAGGCATGCAGATTGAAACAGTCAAGGATCAGTTTCTCTGAGTCACCAAAGGTCAGCTCTCTCTTTTCTACTGAGGTTTAGCGAGACACACGGAGGGCCCTCCCTCGCTCCTGGGATGAGCAACTCTTCAACTTTTCTGAACGTGTTAGGCAAGCACTTTCTGACCCTGGGCAGCCGGGGGTGCGGAGGGAGCTGTGTCTGGCTCTGTTCAGCTCCTGAGCTCTTTGTCCCAAAGGAAGCATCCCCTTCTCCTAGCTGGCCCACCCAGCTGACTGTGTTTTTTAATTTTCTTCTTCCCAAGGGCGTGCTTTATTACTCAAACTAGGGTACCTGTGAGCCTGGCCAGACCCTGCCTTTGAATTATTCCTTAAAGAAATCATGAGGGAGTTCTGTCAAAGAGTGTGTGCTGCCGACCCTTCTCGTAGGTTGGGATGACAGGGGTATGGGATGGCTACCAAGGAGAAACCAGCAAGGCAGGCCTGTGTGGGTGCCTGAGCAGGGGCTGCCAGGACCTGGTGACCTGCCCTCACAGCAGAAACAGGACACTGTTGGTGTGGGTGTCCGTGGGGATAACGTCAGGGTGGCCAACATCTGCTTCTGGGGTAGATTAGGGAGGCCCCCAGGACCTGACAGGACCTGGAGGTGCAGGCCCTTCCTCAGCAGGCAGCTGACAAGGTGTCGCCATCATGGGTGATTAGTGGGGGTGCCAGTGATTACATCAGCCATGGGCCGGGGTACCTGCCTGTCCCCACCACCACACCCACCTTGAAATAGAGCCACAGGGGCGACTGGGTAGCTCAGTCGGTTAAGTGTCTGACTCTTGATTTCAGAGTCCAGCTCAGGTCATGATCTCAGGGTTGTGAGACTGATCCCTGCACTGGGCATGGAGCCTACTTAAGACTCTCCCTCTGCCCTCTGCCCTCTGCCCTCTGCCCCTCCCCTGCTTGGGCTCGCTCACTGCTCTCAAAAAAAATAAAATAAAATAGAACTGGAGCTGCAGCTGACAGAGTGTGTGCTAGCTGAAGCAGAACAGGAATTATAGTTATAGCGTACACAAAATGAGTCCTTTGTTCTTAAACACAAACACAATAGATGGAACAAATAGCAGGATAGACACAGCTAGAGAAGGAAGTGATAAACTGGGAAGTCAGATTAAGGAAGTACTCCAGAGGTTAAAAAAAAAAAAAAGTTTAAAAAACCAAGGAAGGGTTGGCATAGAAATAGCAGACCCGGGGGGAGGGCACATGCATGGAGGGGAGGGCAGCGTCTGGGCAGCAGGAGGCTGGGTTTGCGGGACTCAAGAAGGGTCCGGCATCAGGGTCAAGCAGAAGGCATGAGACTCCCCAGTGCTGGGGCCAGCTCGAGAAGGTGGCAGTGCAATGATGTTTTTAAGTTATTAAAAGGAATTTTTAACTTAGATTTTATGTTCATCCCAGTTGTCACTTAATTGTGCAGTTGTAATAAAAATATTCTTGGGATACTAAGACACATTCAAGATGTATGAAAGCAAGGGAAATTTAGTGCTGGGTAAAGTGTGTGTGTGCACATGCGCATGTGCACACCAGCCAAAGGGGGGAACAAGAGAAAGCAAGCTTGTCCATGAAGGCCCAGAACTGGGGCAGTAGGTGTGTGACGTGCTGGGCTCGATGGGGAGACCAGCTTCTTGTCCCATAAGGAGAAAGAGAACCACGTCCAAGTGTAAGAGGCAAAAGGCAGTAAATACAGAGAAAGGGAGAGCGCTGAAGTCCCTAAAGTGAGGCGGGAGAAACAAGTCCACTTAAACCACAGTAAACACGAGGACATGAACACATTAGTGAAAGAGATTTACCCAGTAAGATTAAACAATACACCTGATAGTATTTCTAGACAAAGATTTTTGCACAAAGAAATGTAGCACGTGCGTTAACATTATAATTGAGGAACATTTTCTTTTCTTTTTTTTTTTTTATTTGACAGAGAGATAGCGAGAGCAGGAACACAAGAAGGGGGAGTGGGGGAGGGAGAAGCAGGCTTCCCGCAGAGCAGAGAGCCCGATGTGGGACTCGATCCCAGGACCCTGGGATCATGACCTGAGCCGAAGGCAGACGCTTAACGACTGAGCCACCCAGGCGCCCGAGGAACATTTTCTTTTAAGATCTGTGCCTGGTTGTTTTGCTTTGCACCGGAGTCCTCTTTGTTTTCTTGAATTGGAACTTATTTCAGCCCTACTGTAGGAGACCAGGGACTGTCACTTCTCCAGGTCTCAACAAGCAGCCCATGGTTAGATTGTCTTTTCAACACGAGCATGTCTGCCCCCTCTGTTTCAGGGGAGAGGAAGCGTCTGTGTCCTGTTTGGTGTCCTTTGCGGGGTGGTCATTTTTGTCCTCGTCTTCCCCCAGGATTGCTGTGTTCTCCGTGACGGTGCTGCACGATGACCGGATCGTCCTTGTGGCTGAGCAGCGGCCAGATGCCTCCGAGGAGGACAGCTTCCAGTGGATGAGCCGCGTGCTGCAGGTGGGCCCCCGGCGGCTGGCCCCTGTCTGTGCGAGTGTGGTTCCGATGAGTCCGAGTGCACAGGGGTCTGCATTCCCTTCCTTCAGAGCGCGGCCCGCCTGCCCCTGTCTCTAGCTCAGTGCCGAGCAGCCCAGATGTCCAGCCGCCCCACACAGGATCACGGGCTTGACTACTGAGAGCTGCAGCCTTCCTCCACCCTGTGCTGCCTGCACACAGTAGGCGCTTAAGAAGTTGGGCTTCATAAAGATAAGGGAACAGCATTTTGAAACTGTAATTCCGTACAAGGGTTAGTGTGTCCTAAAACAGCAGTCCCATGACTCTCCTGTCGATTAGGATGATATCCGTTGAGACTGTTACTTAGCTTCGGACCAGGCCGTGGCCGCAAGGGGACTTGGGGGGGACTGAGAGCTTGTGCGCCACCACAACGGTGGTGGTTTCCAACGTTTTGTTATGACAATGTCAGAGCTAGAGCGAAGTGGAAAGCATGGCACAGAAAGTTCCTAACACCCATCTCTAGGTTCTGCAGTGGTTGACACATCCTCACACTTGCTTGTCCCACATCTGTCCTTCTGCCCACTCCTCAGGGCATGGTGTGGGGCGCCACCTTCCCCTGCACCGCATGGTGGCCCTCATTTCTTTAAATACTGAACGGAGTCCAGCATACTATTTTGGAGGGAAGGAAGTAAAATTTACATTCAGTAAAGTGCACAAACTTTACAGGTACTGTCCAGTAGGGGATTTTCAGTGGGCTTGATGGGATGCAATTTCTATGTAGAATGAGCCCATCTGTAAGTGTGCAGGTGCTGAGTTTTGACAACAGTGTGCACCCACGTAACCAGTGCACCACGGTAATGAAGACAGAGGATCTCTGCCATGCCGTGGTTCTCCCGTGTCCCCCACCTCTGCTGCACTGCCCAGCCTGAGAGCTGCTGGTCGGCTGTGTGTCCGCACGCGTGAGTGGCACAGCGTGTGTCCCTTTCTACCACGGACACTTTCTACCACTTTACTCTAGGTAAAAGGAATCACACACTGTTTGCCGTTCTGTCTGGCTTCCTTCCCTCAGCATGGTCCTGAGATTCCTCGTGTCGTGTGGATGGGTGGTGCATTCCTTTTGATGGCCGAGTTGTGTTTCTCCGCTTATCTATTCACATCCTGATGGATGTTTGGGTTGCCAGTTTCTGACTGTTAGGAATAAAGCTGCTGTGGGCAATGGTACAAATGTTTGGGTGAATTTCCTCTGGTACCCTGCCATCTCCAGGCCAGTTGTGTGAAGTGGCATGAAGCTGTTAGAAACAGGCATAGAGCGGTCCACGCGTCAGGGAGACCAGGTGGCCCTGAGCTTCAGAGTAGTGTTTTCCCACTAGTATCTCACAACATTTATTTTTAATAAAACTTGTGATGTTTTATTATGGAATATTTCTAACACAACAAACAAGAAGAAGAGTGTAATTGATGTGGGGAACAGAGGCAGAAGGAAATGTAGATAAAAGTAAATGTCCTTATAACCTGCAGCCCATTGACGAATACTCGAGGCGGGCAGAGTGTAACATTCCTCCAGGAAGCGCCCAACTGTCTTAATGCTAA